AACCGTCAGCATGCTGAGTCGATAGCATTCTATATTGGTTGCCTCTTTTATGTGTGGGAGTTGGGGAATCTTTTTTCCTTGATAGTGTGTTCCTTGGCGTGGCATAGCTGCCCCAATGGAGAAGCGATGGTATAATTTGGAGTGGCATAGCCGCCCCAACGAGAAATTTGATTGGTCGATGGTATACCTTGAGCTGGCATGACCATAAGGGAATAACGGGTTGTACATTGGTATAATTTGGAGTGGCATAATTGCTCCAACGGAGATATTGACTGTATTGTCGTATACCTCGGTGTGGCATACCTGCCCCAAAAAGGAAATTGATCGAATCATGACTTATCTTGGGGTGGCATACCTGCCCCAAAAAGGAAGTTGATCGAATCATGACATATCTTCGGGTGGCATACCTGCCCCAAAAAGGAAATTGATCGTACCATGCCATTTTTGTTGGCATACCTGCCCCAAAAAGGAAATTGATCGTATCATGCCATTTTTGTTGGCATAACTGCCCCAATAAGGAAATTAATCTGATTGAGAGTGAAATAGGCATAAGGAGCTTTACATGGATTGACACAACGGGATTGTCTCCTCACGCTAGTTGTAGCTTTGCACACGGGTATCTTGAGGTTGAGTAGTAAAGATACAGAATAGGTTAGGTTGGTGACACACGGATATCTTGAGGTTGAGTGGTAAAGATACAGAATAGGTTAGGTTGGTGACACACGGATATCTTGATGGCATCTTGAATGTTCTCTTCTCAGTTCTCATTGAAAAATTATTTAATCATGAGTGACCCTATTGTTCTTAAACTACACTTCAATTCCGACATTGTTCGAGTAAGATTGGAGAGCTCTTCCGAGTGCGGTACCTGTGCTCAAGTCCGCTCCTACATCACCAACACGTGGCCGTTGTTAGCCCAACAAGAGTTCTCTATCTACTATGTTGATGATGAAGGTGACAAGTGTCTCCTCAATGACCGATCTCTGCCAGATGCTCGAGAGGTTGCTAAGGAAATGGCTGTGGCCAACAAGAAGAGCACACCTACTATGGAGTTGTTCATTGACGAGCAAAACAAGGAGGAGACTCCCGAGCCTAGGCAGAGTGCTGCACCAAACTCCTTCCCGACCTTCGCCAGCTGTGATGTCTGTGGAGAGTATCCTATCGTTGGTATGAGACATAAATGCAACACTTGTGCGGATTACGACATGTGTGACGCTTGCTTCAACGCCCGCACTCCTGAGACCCATGATCCATCTCACGACTTTGCTCAGTTCCCAGGTGCCCCTCCGATTCCTCCTATGTTCCCCTGGTTCATGAAGGGCGGCAAAGGGAAGGGCGGCAAAGGGAAGGGCGAGGGCAAAGGGAAAGGTTTCTATTCTTGCCATGGTGGGAAAGGAAAAGGACACTTCGTCGGTCCCCCTGAGTACGGCTTTCATGGTTGTTTCGGTGGAAAAGGAAAGGCTGCTGATCCCGACTGGTTGAAAGACATATGTTCTCAAGGGAAAGCGGCAGTCGAGGAGTTCATCAAGACCTCTGGTATTCACCCCGGAATTGCCTGTGACGTCTGTAACACCAGCCCGATAGTTGGAATAAGGTCAGTTTCCTTTCATCTTGAAACGAATCATTTTCAATGTTTGATTTTGTAGGTATAAATGCTTAACCTGCCCTAACTATGATCTATGCGGTGAATGCTTCAATAATAAGGAGGTTGTCCATGAACACTCAAAAGAGGACTTCTGGGCGATGACACCAGAAGACACCATTGATCTGTGGCAGGCCGATGAGAAGCCTGCCGAGCCAAAGGCAAGTGACAAGAAGGAGGAAAACCCTCCTGCTCAACACGACGATAAAAGTGAGTGCGATGTGGTGCTGTTTTGTATTTTCATGTGAATGCAGGTTCAACCTCTGATGCTGGTAGTTGGACTGAGGTTAATCATCATGAAGAAGTAGAAGGAGCTCCTTCATGCGCTCAACTTGATGCTCAGCAAAATAAGAAGGACGAGACTATTGCTGCTGCTGCTGCAGATCAGGGTCGTGACGATGAGGAGCCATCAGCCACTCAAAGGGAGGTGAGTTTAGTTCGAATTGTGGAAAGAATACTGAAGATTATAATATTAAGCAATGGTATTCAAGTATATAAATATAGTGGTAGTATGATGATACATATATACAGAATATATTAGTAGGGTATATTAGGTATCTATTTTTCATTTTTAGGCTTCTGACGGCGACAGTCGTCCACAAGAGCAACAACAAGAGCCAGCAGAGGTTCTTATAAACCTAATGAGTAATCTCGGCTTGGTTCAGAATAGAGATGCCGCTGGCCGTTTCGTGAGGGATGTGGTGAGTGGCTGTAGGATGCTCTTGGGTGTTGTTGATGATGTTGTTGAATTCAGATGAGCGCCAGTCAGGACATTACAACGATGGTCAACCATTTCCGAACTCACGCTGAGGCAGTCCAGGAGCAAATGAGGCAAGCTCAAGAGCAGATGAGTCGCAGTCAGCAACAACAACAGCAAGGAGGAGAAGGTGATGAGCAGCATAAGTCAACTGAGGAAGAAGGCGCTCAGTCGAAGAAGGAGTAGATGAAGGAATAAGAAACCGTTGTGATTTTTTTCTAGCTGATAATAAATACCCGTTAAGAAACCCAAAATGATATTCTGTGGAGATGATCATATGAGATACTTTCTCACATTAAAACGACTGGCAAGTTCTGTTAGAAGTTGTTTACGCTAGTCTAGTTAGTCTATTTCGTATAAAACTATTGTTGAGTTAAGATGTGGTTATTACGCTCCGCTCGATTCGCAGTCACCAGAATACACGTCAAATCTGAGTCAGCTGGTGACAACCAACAATCTAGGAAATATGCACATGGTCAACTACATGCAATAGTGACACTATGAAATGCAATGCCCCTAGAAGAATATTAGAATATAGTGATGATAACATTGTATGGAATTTAGTATCAGCTATTGGTTCAATATCAACAATATCCACAATATAGCGATAACCGTAGAGAATAACCATATTAAATGAAGATATATATTAATACGCCCCTTTATTATTATGATATATGAAATAGATTAATATCGTATATGGGAGACCTGCGAGTAAATTTTTGGAAACTCTTATTGCACACTCCTACCCAAGTTCGTATTGGTTTCTTAAACTCAGCTGACGAAAGCGAACATTCAAACTGAACCGGTGCATCGTCCAACATACATTGAAGAATGAGAATTCCATTAATTCTTACAGGATTTGTCCTCGTGTTGATGAACAGAACTGTTGAGATTGCCACGCCGAGCCTGATGGTGCTTCTCGATGGTTCAACAAGTTATAGCCTATCTAAGATATATCAAAATAAGATCGAAAACGAGTCGGACACTTCTGTTAAATATCCCACTCCTGGTCGCGTGGGTCTGGTGGGGCGGTTCGGTACGAACCGACCCTAGAAGTATCGATGAGGGAAAGACACTCAGAGACACAGAGTCTGAGTGACACTCAGTGAGTGTGCCGACAGTTCGTGTCTGCACCCTCTTCGGTACTTGCTCCCGGGAGTGGTGGGATTGGGATAAAATTCAGAAGATCCTTCAGCCCGTGACCCTGTTATGACAAAAGGAAAGCGGGGAGGATCCGCTCGCCTCACCGTTACATCTCTGCAGTGCGAATTGGTAGCGGAGCGACGCGACCATCCGCATCGGTATTTAACCTAGGTTAACAAGTTAACCTCTATTAAATATCCCACTCCTGGTCGCGTGGGTCTGGTGGGGCGGTTCGGTACGAACCGACCCTAGAAGTATCGATGAGGGAAAGACACTCAGAGACACAGAGTCTGAGTGACACTCAGTGAGTGTGCCGACAGTTCGTGTCTGCACCCTCTTCGGTACTTGCTCCCCATACCAGACCTCGGGGCAGGAGTAGCAGGAGACTTGCTCCGAAGGCTATATGGGCTGCCCATAATGGGCACCAAGCTTTAAGCGGCTGCCAATCGACACCAGATTGGCACGAAAATTCGAATAACCCATAATCCCCGTGTCAGCAAAATCCCGCGGCCTGCTGAGCAGACTCTGCTTGTGTGAGAGTCTAAAGTGATACGGCTTAGTTACAGTCTAACTGTCAGACTATCATCGATTCACAGTAGCTCGCGACCGATTAGCTCGGCCTGTTAAATGCGCGGTTCGTCACATCAATGAATGTTGCTCCCGGAGCGAGATCATCCTCCGCCAGGATTCCTGGCCCAGGATTATTCCTCTG